TATGCTCCAATGTTTCTGATGCGCCGAACTTACGTCAAAAAGTTTCATCACGCTAAATCCGACTTCCCCTGATACAGTTGGACTTGAACTTCCACCACTGGACGTAGACTTGGAAGAAGACATTCCTTTAGTTATGGTGATCTTTTTAGTAGCTTTTTCAGTGCGATGCTTGTTTATTACTTTTTGCCAGAAGACAAGCTGTCAAAAAAAAAAAAAAGATGTCCTACATAAATTTGCATTTTTATTACATAACCTTTGCTGCTTCTCCCTTTCCTTGCTAGTTAGTTTTGCTCCAATGCCTACTATGCCCAAAATCACAAGGAAAACTGAATGACGCAAAGAAGGATCTGAAAGAAGACAAAATCCCATTTATTAGTAACTTTTTGTGCAAGTTTTCTTAACGCTTAGTTTTTTCTTCAAAGAAAACTGTGTAGGGAAGTGGCGATCGCAGCAGACTCGCAGAACCGCTTTGGTTATCGGCCAGATTTCTCCCTCGATAGTTCCGAGTTTGAATGTTTTTGTAAATACTGAGTGAAATCGTCTGACTCTAATCCTGTCAGAGAGAAAATAATTGACCTTATTACGTTTGATTTTGATCAGATGAGAACATAATCGACCTTGTTAGATATGTTTGATTTTGATCAATTGTTTTATGTGCTTTTTCTGGTTGTTTATTTGAATCATCTTTGCCTCCGAGCAAAGAAGGCAGATCATTAGCATACCTTTTCTTTCGGTTTACAATCTATGGCGCACCTTTATTTAGGAAAAAAAATAAAGAGGAGTTAACTGATTAAAAGATAAATGTTTATGGCACTTCAACAAACAACATGGTAAGAATAATGAAACAACTTGATGGAAAATTCAGAGTAGATATGTTGTAGGGTGATTTGACGTCCAACTCCATATCCAATCTCCTATCCAAGCCGCTGACTGTGCAGGAGCCATCTTCAGTCTGATCTTTCCACAGGAGTTGAAGCAGTGACAGTATTTTATAACCTTTTTGGTTTGGTCCTCAATTTGTTTACTGAAGCAGGGGCTAAACCTATTGAACAGTTTAACAGCTTTGTAGTATCTTTTGGCCCAAGAATCAAAGCTGAAACCTCTGGTATCACATTCTTTCTTCAGCTCTCCCAGATTCCTACTGTTCATCTCGTCACAGGTTCTTCGGCTAGCGCGATCAAAAGCACACGAGCCGAAGATACATCTTCCCCAGTTAAGAGCAGCCTCTGCGCAATCGCTTTTAGTTCCACACTTTAGCCCATGCCCCCACGAGTTGGCTGCTATTCAGCAGTAAGGGCTTACACGAGATCCGGGAGACAACTGGCAAGAGCCTGTCATGGTACAATAACCCTCAAAGCATTTGAAATTACAGTCACTCCATCAGAAGCCTACTCTGGAGGAGAGAACGAATAAAACTGTCCAAAGGCAACTTAACAATTTATATGACTATGAACACTATATATATGCTATTCGCCTGCCGGGAAGTCGGTATCGGGAAAAACTGTGCCAGAGGTCTTGAGTAATTTACTGTAATTACAGTAAGACTTTCCATAAACCGAACCATTTTTGAGCGAGTAAATGGTTGTTAAAATAGAGTAATGCAAATTAAAGAGAGAGGCTTCACCGAAACAATTTCATTTTCGTAATGATGATGAAGATTTAACAAGCTTCCAATAAAGTTTGGAACATTATTTTTTCAAGTACCTGTCACAATCTGACACTTGACAATTAGAGAGCGCGTAAGAAAAAAAAAACGCAAGTACATTTTTGAAAAAACAACGGAACTAGTTTGGCAAGGACTGTCACGACAATATTTTTTTCAAAAGCAGTCAATGATCTTACGGGAAGTATTGTTCAGTCTCATCGACGATTAATTAATGTACGAAGATTTACCTCTGTTCAGTGAGTAAATGGCAAGGAAAGTAATTGTAAATTAATTCAAATTTTTTATTTTGAGGTTGTGAGAGTTTGCTCGTTTGTTTACTGCAACGGTGTGTGTAAATCTGGTCTTTCCTCCTTAAAAACTAAATTCGAATGAGGCACTTCAACTAGACACAAGGGGATTTAATGCGGCTTTTTTCTTTGAATTCCTCCTGTTTCTGTTGTGCAATTTATGATACAAATGTTCAAATTGAACGGACTTGGAAAAACTCACCGAGAGCGTCTTTGAAAACTCGACTCGTCCTTTCTCTACGGACAAATTGTTTGAGAGAATTCAGATATTAAATGAATGAAGGTTCCATCGATTAATTAAATTGCAAACAAATACCTCACTTTTTAATTCTCCAGGTACTTTTTGTGAAGGATTAAAATTAATTGCAAACGCTTTTTAGGCCGCTCGTCAATCAATTCAATAACACTTTTGTTAATACAAATTCATTTTGAAACCAACATTTTTCTGTCAACCAAAGTGATTTGAGAGAGAAAAAAAAGGATTAATAAGTTATTTATCGCCTTGAGGTGGTGACCGACTTTTTTTGCGTAAAAATACTGCCCAGCCGGAAAAATTAGGTATATTTATGAAAAATAGCAACGGTAGGGATGTGGGGATGTACTCGGCGACTCACGAAACTGTTACCGTTGCCCGTGAGCAGAGATAGGAAAAACACGGACCGCGTTAAGAACCAATCAGATTGCAAGATTGACGTGCCCTCTGAGGAAGAAATAAATATAGATCATATATGTAAACCGCTGATTAAGAAAGGAATATAAGCGATCTTCGGATTTATGAACACTACTGAAGCAGTAGTGAAAATAAGGCCTGAAATAAGTTCAGGCCTGTACGGGATTTGAACCCATTTGAAACCGGTGCAGTGCCCTACCAACTGAGCTAATAAGCCAAGTGGGAGCTGGTCATTATGTTGGTTCGCAATAAACCCTAATGAGTCTTAATCTTCTGTTCTGTTTTCTGCTCTCTCGAAGTACTTCGAAATCGATCAATCTCCACAGATTTTAATGTGTGCTTTCTAAAGCACTTCTAACATATTTCTTCTTCGCAATCTGATCTAATTGTTTCCCAACTGACTTTTGGTAATGAGACTGAAAAGAACATACTTTGAGCTGACCACTTTGACGTCACCAATCCCTGATAAAAGTTTCGTTAGAGCCGTTAAAATGGCCGCCTTGCCACCTATACTTCGTTTAATTGACTCACACGGGATTGATGACTTTGAATTGCTCCCTATGACACTTTAAACCCATGTAGGGTCACCCAAATCAATTTTAAGTAGTTTGAAGCTTAATTTGAAGCTTACAAAAGCAAGTGTGAATGTGAGGCGAACTTTGCATAATAATGCATCATCCGAATTTTCTCCAGGTTTGACAACGGAATTAAAAAAAATTTAATAAATGTAACAGGGCCTTCATTTGAAGAAGACTGCCTAAATTTCAAACTCAAGGTTTCTCCAAACCTTCACAAGTCAATTACTTAAACTTAGATTTCCCACAAAAACGAATTCAGCAGAATCCTGCCGAGCAGTCGAGTTTTTTAGAAAAGGTATTTCGTTAAGCTCACAAACTATCAGGTTGTCAGAAATCTCCCAAGCGACCTTTTCGCGGTCATCAGATCCCCCGGGATCCGGAGATCCTATTGCCTTTAGTTGAACGCTCGCCTTTGTCGACACTCGCCTTTTGATGCTGCTTTTTTTCGAATGTAGACGAATTAACCTCTCGTCATGAAACCATGCTTAGAAAGAGGAAAAAGTCCTTAAATAAATGTTCTGATGATAAAAGTAGATATCGAGCTATCGAGGGGTTTGTGATTTGCCCATAATTGTGTGTAACGAACGAGTGATGTCATTCATGTTCAACACCTTAGCCTCAAACGAAACGCGTGGAAGATTATTTAGTTCGTTGTTTATTGCCGCTCATTAGTTTTTCATTAAAAAAAAACCAACAACAACAGATTTTGTCGGTGGTGCGTTAGAAGGTTTGTCATCTTCGGCCAAAATGTTTGTCGCGACAAATCATTCGCACACTTTAAGAATCGGTGATGACAGAAAATCTGTCAAAAGGAACAATCGTTTTTGCCAGTGCAGTTAGGCCCTTACTGAAGAAAACGTGACCGGGAAGCTACCACTTTACTGCGATGCACCAACTTGCCTGTTGTGAACGTCAGGAACTCTACGGATACTACAAGCTGGCGGTTCACAGCGTGAGTCATGGTTCACACAACTCTAACTTCTTGACAGACGTCCTTATAGCTAGAAGGCGAGAGGACCTAGGAAGCCACCGAGCTTATGTGAGGCCGCCTTTTTTATATTAATAAATAAAGTGAAGAAAAAGTGCTGCGAATGTGCGCTAAGCCAGTTCAGTGATTACTTAAGTAAAAACTCTTGGATTTTCGTCTTAAAGCTAAGAAGGTTTCACGAACGAGTGACTGAAACAGGAAGAGAGTTCCAAATTTTAGGATCTTGGTAGAGAATTGTAAATTGCTTGAGATTTGTACGGCACAAATGCGTTCGATAATTACTGGCTGTTCTGGTACCATAGTTGTGAATTTGGCTATTCCGGCGCCGTTACAAAAAGATTTAGAAGCAATGGAGGCAATAAGTTATTTCCATATAATAAAGAAATCGAGTGAATAAAAAGGGATTTTTTTCAAAAATATAAGTTCTAGAGATGTATTTCATCGCACAGTTAGCCAAATTCAAACCTTATTTTATACTTTCTAAAGTTGTTCTCTCCTTGCCCAGAAGGTGACAAGTGCCACCAGAGGTTGATACAAAGTTCCTTTCGTCTGAATATTACCGAATCTGCTTTATGGTCCTTTATTACACTGAATGCTTATGTAAAATGCGATTTATACTGCGTGGTATAGGCAAAGCAAAAGTTAAATAAGTCAAAACTATTTTCAAGCACGTGGTATTAGCGATAGTATTTGCCATGAGCGCCGAGAAACGCATTTTTCCTTACATACCGAACTGGAGAGAGAACATGAGCAAATATATAAACGAAAATGATAAAATTTGCATTATAAGATGATTTTATTTGGTTGAAACTCAGTTGTTTGATGATGAGACATAGAATGTCTTAAATCTTCTTTTCGACAACCTTTTTTCGGCCTCAGAGAAATCTGCCTCCTTGGTTTCGGATGAGCCATCTTTGCCTTTGATAACATAAGTGGGTGTTTTCACTGTGTAAACAGTGCCATCACTGTTTTTACACTCGCCAACAACCTGAAACACTGATACTTCGTCTCCTGGCTTAACACCGATGGATATTTCACTGGTCACTTGCTGAAATTCCGTCCTAGTAGTAGACAAACTCCAGTTATGCTCTAATGTTCCTGATGCGCCGATCTTTACGTCAAAAAGTTTCATCACGTTAAATCCAACTTCCCCTGACACAGTTGCACTTGAACTTCCACCACTGGACGTAGACTTGGAAGAAGACATTCCCTTAGTTATGATGACCTTTTTAGTAGCTTTTTCAGTGGGATGCCTGTTTATCACTTTCTGCAAGAAGACAAGCTGTGGAAAAACATGGTTATACGTTCATTCGCATTTTTATTGTATATTCTTTGGTGTTTCTTCCTTGCCTTGCTATTTATTTTTGCTCCCATGACTACCATGCCCAAAGATTGTAAGACAAATTGAATGACGCAAGGGAGGATCAGAAAGAGGACAAACTCCTATCAATTTGAAACGCTTTGTGCACATTTCTTAACGTTTGGTTTTTCTTTAAAGAAAACCGTGTGGGAGAGGGGTGATTTCAGCAGACTCGCAGAACCAATTGGGTATTGGCCAGATTTCCCTCCCGATAGTTTGAATGTTTTTCTATTATGCTTGTAAATACCGAGACAAATTGTCTTACTCCAATCCTGTCATGAAAAAATTACTTGAAGTTGTTATGTTTGATTTTGATTATTTGTTATAAATTATTTGAATTGAGCGCGGATAAACGAGCCAGTGCAGCCAAGTACACTTCAACCAACAACATGGTGAATGGGGAGCCTAATGCTAGCCAGGGGCAAACCAACTAGGCGTAGAATCTTGCAAATTGAGAAAGGCACAGATAATTGATTTTAAGGAGAAGTATGAAGAAACTTCTCTTTCTGGTTGATCATCAGGATCATTTTTACCTCAGAGTAAAGAAGACAGACAATTAACATACCTTTTCTTCCGGTTCACAATCTATGGCGCATCTTTATTTTAGGAAAAAGAAGAAAGAGGAATTCAATGATCAAAAGCTAAATGTTTATGGCCCCACCTCCAAGGGATTGGTGACTAATGTAATGATTTACATAATGCTTACGGAACCCAAAACGTCACCTAAACGATGGAACAGCTACTGATGGAAAATTAGAGAATGCAGTTTTGTTAAGCTACTGATAAAAAAGAGAAAATAAAAAACTTACACCGCTGTGTAGGGTGATTTGACGTCCAACTCCATATCCAATCTCCTATCCAAACCTTGAACTGTGCAGGTGCCATCTTCAGTCTGATCTTTTCCACAGGAGTTGAAGCAGTGACAATATTTTATAACCTTTTTGGTTTCATCCTCAATGGCATCACCGACGCAGGGGCTAAACTTGTCGTACAGTTTACGAGCTTTCTCGTACCTGTTGGCCCAAGAATCAAAACTGAAACCTTCGCTACCACATTCTTTCTTCAGCTCTCCAAGTTTCTCCCTGTTCATCCGGTCACAGGATCTTCCACTACCGCGATCAAAAGCACATGAAAGGAAGACACAATTTCCCCAAGAAAGAGCAGCGCTTCTGCAATCACTTCTAGTTCCACACTTTAGCTTATGCCCCCACGAGTCGGATGCTATCCAGCAGAAAGGGCTAAAACCAGCTCCTGGAGACGACCGGCAAGAGCCTGTCATGGCACAATTTCCCTCAAAGCACCTGGAATTAAAATCATTCCATCAAAACCCTACTCTGGAAGAGAGAACGAATAAAGTTGTCCAAAGACAACTTAACGATTTACATGTCTGTGAATATTTAAAGATCATATATGTGAACCGCTAATTAAGAAAGGAATATAAAGGCGACCTTCGCAGTAATGAAACTGAAGCAGTAGTGAAAATAAGGCCTGAAATAAATTCAGGCCTGTACGGGATTTGAACCCATTACCTCGACGAAACCGGTGCAGTGCTCTATCAACTGAGAAAACAAGCCAAGTGGAAACTGATCATTATATTGATTTGCTATAAACCCTTGAAGTGATGAATGGATGACTGTGAATATTGGAAACCATTTATGTGAGCTGAGGATTAAGACGTGAATATGAAAGCGATCTCCGCAGTATGACACTACTTACGATCCCTTTATATGCTAATAAGTATTAATCTTCTGTTACATCTGCTTCCTGTACTCTCAAGATACTGCAAAATGGATCAATTTAAACAAATTTTTATGTTTCCTTTATATGCAGTTCTAACATATCTCTACTTCGTAATCTGATCTAATTGTTGCCCAACTAGCTTTTGGTAATGAGACTGAAAGGAACTTACTCAAAAGACTTTGAACTGACCACGTTGCAAGACAACAACAGCTGTATACCCAGGAAGAGGAGGTTTCCAATTGTGACGATTTCAACCATTCTGGTACTATTTACGCTAGTAAAAAGATCGGCAAATACAATTAAATGAATTAACTGAAGCGATGGGTGAAAATTTTGGAAAGCGAAGAATTCGTAATGACATTGGCTTCAAACTTCAAAGTTCAGTAGGCTTAAGTATTGTACAAGTGCCGTTAGGTTTCATGTTCAAATCCTATAAATTCTTTTGGAGTCAAATTTTTTCAATCTCCTATTGACAAAATTTCGTTATAAGTTAAAGTTAAAGTTATAAACATCAAGCATTACGGGATACATCTTGTAACTTATTTTCTCAGATACTTTTAGCTTCTTCTTTCTAATTTGCAAATGCAGTTTTCCAGCTTCTCTAGAAAACATTTTTGTTCCATGAGGCGCTAAAAGACAGCTATCTTCTTTTATACTTGTGTTTGCCTACTAATGCTTGACAGAAATGGGATAGGCGGCAACAAGAGGTTTAAACGAACTGGTAATTCACCTACCACTCCTGATGCCCAGATGTTTGAGGGAAAATCTTCACCAGCACTGGCCTCTCTTCTCGGTGGATTTGCTTCTTCAGTTTAAAAGGCGAGCGCTTTCTCGTTTCTTTTTAGACTTACGACATACCCCAATAATTTAAGGGTCATGAGACTTGTGGAATGAAAATGCTGGTAGCCACTTGAAATTATGAAATTACAAACATAATTTGTAATTACTTTGAGAAATGAGGCATGTAAAAGAAGAAAATGTTAACCCTGAAAACTTAAGCCATGAACAAATTAACATGCATAGGTAGGAAATGCGGCGGCGCATTAATCATCTACAAGTGCTGTGAAACTTGGACAAAAGACTAAGAAAAGATAAAGGAATTTCAAAAAATGAAATGACATTTTTTATTGTTTTGGGAAATGATGCATACAAAATGAAAGGATACTAATTAAAATTTTTAGAGTTTAAACTAAGAACAAAATTACATAAAAGGCCACTTGTTTGCTCGTTACAAACACTTCTCTTCTGACATTTCTTGGTGCTAAATCACTAATTACTTTCTGATCAAGGTTTTCACACTGTTGCTTGTGGATATATTAGCCAGAGGAGAAAAATTTCAAATGACTTATGACAAAGATAAAAGATGTTTCAGGTGCGTTAAAAAGAAAACATCTGAATCCGCGGCCCAAAGTTTTCATCGAATAGCTGGGCCCCATAGGTCGTATCCTAAGTTTCTACATATGTGACAGGTGTTGTGTACTACTTGGATCGACTCACCCATACATGTAGGCGACCTGTGTAGACTTTCCTTGAACGTTCCTATCGCGTAACGATTGTTTTATGATATATTTGTAAGTGCGTGGAACTCTCTTAGTCTCAATACCAGAGCAAGCAAAACGTTCACCTGTCTTAAGCGCAAGCGCTAAACGGGAGCTGTGTCACGTCGTCTAATTAAATCATCGAAGACTACCATATTTTTACTTGAAAATTTTAGTTTCAACAACAGTAAATAAACTCATACATTGGTATTTCAAGATACAATTTTATGTGTCAAGTAGAGTATTCTAAGATATATAACAGTTTATTCTATTCTCTCTTTATAATCATTGTAATTAACTTTTTTGCTTCAGTTATTGTAAATGCTGCACTCTGCTGCGTTCTACTGTATTGTTGTGTTGCGAGCGATAATTGACCAATAAAACAGTTCCTTTCTCTGACACCGAAAAGGTGAAATTGTTAGAATGGCGGCGTTTGATTCACAAACTATCTACAGAAGCCCTAAAAAAATAAGTCAGACTGATCAGAAAGGCTCTGTTTGTTTGGCTACCAGCAAATTTTTGTCTTTTGTTCAAGATTTTATCGTCAGGTTTTAAAATTTTTATGTTCCATATATCAGTTTCACTTTAGTGAAAATTGTGTTGCTAGTTTCGGATTTACAAGAAGCCACCGACAATCTTTACTTTCAACACTCATGACACTCGAAAGTGATTCGGTAACTGTGTATAAGGTTTTGAACGAATACTTTCCAAAAAAACCTGTTTTCTCTCAAAGAGTAGAAATGCCTGCACTTTCACCTTTTCTCGCAAGCATCTGGCCCTTGCTAACCCTTTTTCTGTTCTTGAGATGAGGAGTTACTTGAAGGTAAAGTCAAAAAAACAATCAAACAATGCCTTGTTTGCTCAAAAGATGGTCGTTTTGACTTGGAAATGCAGCGCCCATTCGCAAACGGTTAAATCTTTGAAATGGGATTCTGATGGAGAAGACGTTTAGAAGTGACTGTAAATATATGGAAATCATTTATGTGAACTGCGGCTAAAGAAACGAATATGGAAGCGATCCTCGCAGTTATGAACACTACTTAAGCAGTAGTGAAAAATAGGGCCTGGAAAAAAAAAATTCAGGCAGGTACAGGATTTGAACCCATGACCTCTGCGATACTGGTGGAGCTTGTCATTAAGTTGGTTCCTTCCCACGCGTTTGTTACTTTCCTTGAGCAAACATGGCCACAAATGTAGCTGTCTTCCTTCGACTACGGGCATCATCTATATGGTTGTTGAACTTAACCCGGGTCCCGTTACCTCTCGCGCTCTGCGTATTATTTGTCGCTGTCTCAAGCATATTGCTCAGCGAAATTGAGCCAAACTAATGTCACACATGACAACATTTCGTCCGTATTTCATGTTAATCGTCTTGTGTATAATCGTAACGATGTTGTGCGTTTGTGCCCTTCCTATTTGGATTTGTGTACGGAATCGACCTCGGAATTGGAAATATCGTGGAAAAAGAGTTGATAAACTTTCTTAGGTGAAAAAAGCCAACGGAGCTATGAATATTCCATCAATTGTCTGCCGAAGAAAATTTGTGAACAGTTGTTCATTAAATAAGTTTGGCCAATCTAATGCCTGTCGAGAGCGATGCCAGTGCGTATTATCATCGCGAGAGGATTTCAATGTTAAAAGCTCTTACTTGGGACCCTTAAATTGTCGTTTTGTGTGCAACAATGCTATTATGTTGAAGGATTATATTGTTGAAAGGAACTTTGATATATTTGCGATTACTGAGACCTAGTTTCGCCCTGGAAATGTTGATCGAATTACAATAAGGAATTTGGTTCAAAATGGTTTATTGTTTTTATCATGCTCCTAGAGAAGGTAGGGGGTGGAGGTGTTGGCGTTATGTTAAGGCGAGCGCTGATGGTTGTTTCTTCTGAATATTTTACCAATTACAGATCCTTCGAAGCTATAGGAATACAAATGAGGGTACTTTCAAAGGTTATTAACATTGTAGTCATCTATCACCCTCCTTCATCATCTGGGAATAATTCAATGAGTTGCTTCATGGAAGATAATTCGCTTCTTGAGGATTATTTTGCCAAGTCTGGATCCTTAATTACTGCCGGCGGTTTCAATTTTCATATCTTCTGACGTCTCCACGACTAATTTTATCATTCTGCTGGAAGCGTCCAATTTGAGACTGCATGCTACTCAAGAAACCCATCGTGCTGGTAATGTCTTAGATCTGATTATTGATCGGAATGATGATGAAGACTTTGTGCATTCTGTTGACGATCATGATTCTATGATTTCTGATGACTTTACTTTGATGTTTCACTTAATATTACAAGGCCGTGTCATGAGAGGAGAACTATCTCGTGCGGTAACGTTAAATCGATCAATTCTAACGCGTTTCAAGAGAGTATTGAAAAATCTTCATTGTTAAAAGTTGATCTTGTGGAAATGCCCCAAAGTGTCGAGTTATACAATTCAGAACTATTAAGCATATTGGATTTCCATGCACCACTCTCGACTCGCACAGACACAGTTTGTCCAACCGCACCATGGATTATGATGGCGAAATTCACATGTATGCTGACGACACTAAGGTTTACGTGACTGCATCTTCTCCCGATATGGTTGCTGTTGTCTTGAACGTCATCCTCAGAAGTTGTATGACTGGTGCTGCCTTAACCGCCTCATACCCCACCCCGGTAAAACCAAGTAAATGATTTTAATGCGTGGCCAGTTTGTTAGGCCAAAAAAAATTTCAGGCCCGTACGGGATTTGAACCCATGACCTCTGCGACACCGGTGCAGCGCTCTACCAATTGAACTAACAAGCCAACTGGGAGCTGGTCAATGAATTGGGTCCAAATAAACATCCAAGTGAATGAAGATTTTAGATATATGAAAATTCACATACTTGCACTGCGGTGGAAAGATGAAATTAGAAGATCCTCGCAGCTAAGAACACTACTGAAACGAGTAGTTGTAAGTAGGACCTGAAAAAAATTTCAGGCCCGTACGGGATTTGAACCCATGACCTCTGCGATACCGGTGCAGCGCTCTACCAATTGAGCTAACAAGCCAACTGGGAGCTGGTCAATGAATTGGGTACAAATAAACATCCAAGGGAATGAAGATGGGTTCTTGGATGAGTTGGCTTGTTAGCTCAATTGGTAGAGCGCTGCACCGGTATCGCAGAGGTCATGGGTTCAAATCCCGTACGAGCCTGAAATTTTTTTCAGGTCCTACTTACAACTACTAGTTTCAGTAGTGTTCTTAGCTGCGAGGATCTTCTAATTTCATCTTTCCACCACAGTGCAAATATGTGAATTTTCATATATCTAAAATCTTCAAATGTTACTGCTGTTGTTGTTGTTTCATACGAAACGTGTAGAAGATTATTTTAGTTCGGGCATTTCTGCTCACTAGTTTTTCATTAAAAAAAGAAACAGCAACAAATTTTGTCGGTGTTGCATTAGAAGGTTTGTCTTCTTCGGCCAAAATATTTGTCGCGACAAATCATTCGCACATGTGTTGGTGTTGACAGAAAATTTGTCAAAAGGAGGAATCGCTTTTGCTAGTGAAGATTGGCCCTAACTGAAGAAAACGTGACTGGAAAGTTACCAATTTCCCGCGATGCACCAACTTGCCTGTTGTAAACGTCAGGAACTCTACGATATTACAGGCTGGCGGCTCATAGCGTGGGTCATGGGACACACAATTATAATTACTTGACAGACGTCCTCAGTGACGTGAG